GTGGCTAAGGCAGGAGGATCACAAATTCAACCACAGTCTAGGCAATTTAGCAACTTAGTTTCTCATCATTTAAAAAGAGGTAGGGAATGTAGCTTGGTGTGAAGGCTCTGGGTTTAATCCCCAGAATTGCCAAAAGAAATACCAAGGAAAAAGAGGTATTTAAACATAGTGCTTAAAATATTTCATTTAGCCCTTTCCAATTAGCTTTGTGAGATGAAACTGTATAATACTTTTTTTTTTGAGACAGGGTCTCATTATGTAGTTCAGGCTGGCCTTGAACGCACTATGTAGCCCAGGCTGGTCTCAAACTTGCAGCAATCTTCCTGCCTCAGTGTCCCGAGTGCTGGGATTACAGCTATGTGCCACCATGTCCAGCTTACTTGTATTTTTTTTATCAAAAACAAAAAATTGGGCTGGGGATTTAGCTCAGTGGTTTTGCTGCCTGCTGCTCAAGTGCAAGGACCCAACTTCGATCCTCGGTACCAAAAAAAAAACAAAAAACAACAACAACAAAAGAGCCTGGCAAATGACCCAAACTGTCCATCTATTGCCTGCCCTGGACAGGAGTCCTTGAAAGGCCCACGTGGCTTACTAAGAGACCCATATTCTTCCTTGGTCAGAGCTGACTGTATCAGAAATGGGCAGCTGACCCAAAGCCGAGCAATCACAGGCTACCACCTGTCTACCTCTCCAGCTTTGTTCCTTCTATCTTCTGCCTTGAAGTCAATGTACTACAGTAATTATAGCTTTTCTTCACAGTATCTGTTACAATTATCAAATAATCATGTATTTATTTGATTACTCATTCATATCTGTCTTTCCTCCTAAATTGTAAGCTCCATGAGGATAAAAACGATCAGTTTTTGCTTACTACTATGTTACATTAACTAGCAAAATTTCTGATACACTTTGGGTATTCAGTAAGGTTTTTGTTTTGATTTTAACAAAGGACAAAAGGATTATAATATTATGCCTCCTTTTCTCTGAAATTTTTTTTCCTTACACAGTCTTACTAAGTTGCCCAGGGTGGCCTTAAACTTTCCATCCTCTTGCCTCAGTCACTGAAGCAGCGGGTTTATAAGTCTGTGCTATCATGCTTCACTGAAGCTTTCTCCTTATTTCATTAAACTTACATGGAAAATACCCATTTGAGCAGACCAAAAACTAAGGCAAAGGAATCTACATGTATCCTCAAAGAGGACAATGTCACAGAATGCCACATTAAATTTGACGAGTTTTAAGCAGTTTATAGAAACATACCTGAGTGAAGCTGAATCTTCCCAATAACACCTTCTACCAATCCCAAACAAATAGGATTCCAGGCAAGAAGGAGATCAGTAGCTAAAATAGAATTTAAAAAGTCATGAAAATATATTCATCAGAAAACATATGAAAACAACTACCTTTATCAATATATTAAAAAAAGATTGGGCCGGGGATTTAGCTCAGTGGCTCAGGTGCCTGCCTCCCAAGCCCAAGGTTCCGAGTTCGATCCCCAGTACCAAAAAAAAAGATTGGGCTGGGGATTTAGCTCAGTGGCAATGTGCCTGCCTCACAAGGGCAAGGTCCTGCGTTCAATCCCTGATACCGGAAAAATAAAATATAATTTAAAAAAGATCAATACCCCTAAAGAACAGATACAAACAGCCAGCACCGAAGGCTTTACCATAAAGCAATTTGTGACAAAGCATTAAGTCTGAGGCCTGAATAAGTTTCTGATACTAAGATAGTTATGGAGAGAGAACTAACTGACTTAGAAACTCAACCCACATGGGAAGCAGCATTTTGGCGCCCTACAGTGGAAAAAAGAGGCTGCTACACTCCACGAGGGCAAAGGGGGAGAAACTGCTCAAAGTCCTACAGCAGAGCCAAATCACCATACAGCTGTCCACTTACTGGATCACACTCTGCAAAATACCTTTCCCAGAGATGCTTACACTGAGCAAAGAAATCCAGAAAGCCACTGCTCTTTTATACAACTTCTAGGGCAAAAACAATAGGAAGCATTTCCACTTATTTAGTGCTCCTATATGCTGGGCATCTCAATCAGGGTTCCTTATCTGAACCACAGAACAGACCACAGTGATGGGGGTGACTGCTTTCTCTCATACAAGAAATGAAACGGCATGAATGAAACTGACACCATTCTAAATACACAGGAGAGAAACAAATCCATGACACACAAATAGATGCCTAACAACAAGGGATTCTCTTGAGGGTCCCAGGTTAATAAACGTGAAGTCTGCAATAGTTCAACAACTGAAAAGATTAGCAAGAATGAAAATAATTATTTTTCTTGGCAGAAAATTAAAGTTTCACTTTATTGCCATTTTAATTTTATTTTAGTGAAATTTATACTCAATCTATAACTCACAGAGTAATTACACACTTAATAATTTAGTTTTCAAATTCATTTGAATACTGACTATTATATCTTGGATATCTTTATTGTTTTGATATATTTGATGGGAGGAAAAAAAAGTTGACTTTGTTGGTGCTTTGCTGTTGTTTTTCGGAGCTAGAGACTAAACCCAGGACCTTGTGCATACTAGTTATATACTCAGTCTGACTGTTATGTTTTTACTCCAAGAATTAAAGTAAAATAAGAATTTATTTTTTAAAAGGCTATTATATATACTATCATTTCTAATCCTGACAACTTTGTGAGTTAGGTATTAGGAGTCTCATTTGACAGGATAAGGAAATGGATGCTTAGAAAATAACATGGTCAGGCCACAAACAGGATGGGAACAAGGGTGCAAACAAAAGCAAGATGAAGTCTGGCATGGCAGAGCACACCTGTAGTCCCAGCATTCCGGAGGCTGAGGCAGGAGGGATCACTGACAGTTCGAGGCCAGCCTGGGCTACATAGTGAGTTCAAGGCCAGCTTGAACTACATAGTGAGGCCTTGTCAAAAAAAAAGCAAAGTGGACCTGACTCAGAGCTGTCCTCCAAAAATATAGTGCCTCCCTCAGAAATATACATGGAACTAATCAGTCAGACAAGAAGTTTTAAATAGCATGCTTTATTACAAAAACAGCACAACAAAATTGGGGGAGAAATTATTTCCCATCCTACTACCCAGAGATAACATTATTTTGCTACATTTCAGGCCATATGTTTACATACCAAACTGCATCAACACAACATCACATACTAATGTTATGAGTCACATTTCATGACTACAGTATTTTCTCATTTCTTTAAAATATTCTTCAAAATTATAACTTCATGGTTGCATAATTTTCCACTTAAGGAAATATTTCCTCCCTCTTGAGCATTTAAGTATTACAAGTTTTTCCCTTGCTACAAAAAACACTGATTAAGTTGGGCCGGGGATTTAGCTCAGTAGTTTCGCTGCCTGCTTCGAAAGCTCAAGGACCTGAGTTCGATCCCCAGTACCAAAAAAAAAAAAACCAAAACAAACAAACAAAAAAACACTGATAAGCGATGAAAATCATACAAATATTTCATTTTCCTCCCTAATTAAGAAATTCAGAACTGATTCCTGGAATGAAATTATTAGGTTAAAACATTAAAAAAAATAAAGCTTTCAAGTATTACCAAATTGCTTTCCACAAAGGCTATACCTTTATAATAAGCTTTCTGCCAGAAGCATATGTAAATGCTTGTTTTAAAGTACTTTTGCTAGTATTTTTTAATTTTGCTAATTTGATAGCATCCATTGCCTAAAAGATGTTCATTTTTTTCTATTGCTGGTAAGATTAAGCATTTAATTATAAAATCAGCTGCTTATATTTCTTCTTCTACTACTATGATTTTCTGGTTAATATCTTCTAATAATTTTTCCTTATTGATGTAAGAATTTTTTGTATATTAAGGACTTCAAACCTTTGACATCTTTTTTAGTTTTAATTTTCATAGAAATCTACCATTTTCATTATGTTTAGGTTTAAAAAGGTGTCCTCTGGGCCAGGGATTTAGCTCAGTGGTTTCGCCGCCTGCTGTGCATGTGCAAGGATCCGAGTTCCATCCCAGGCACCAAAAAAAAAAGGTGTCCTTTATCCAATATCAATTAAATATTTACTGCCTGCCTGCCCTGTGCTGGGGATAATATAGTTTATAAGATTAGCAAATGTTTCTTACTATGGACCTCAAACAATTAAAAACACTAACAAGTTTTAGCTGAAGATACATTATATCAAGCTTGTAAATTATTCTGTTTAATTCCTCTATGTACTTTCTGACTTTTCTGTTTAACCTATTAGTTTTTAAGTAGTTTTACTTTTTAAAGTCTCATACTTTGTGTATTTTATTCCTTAATTATCTTGCAAGACTGTCAAGTTTATAGAGATTCAGGATTATTATATCTCTTCCTGGTAAACTGCTTTGCTTATTTGGACATTTTATTTTATTTATTTATTTTTTTGGTACTGGGAGATCGAACTCGGGACCTTGGGCTTGTGAGGCAGGCAGTGGAACCACTGAGCTAAATCCCCAGCCCCAAGGATTTTAATTGTTTTGTTTGAAATAGTCCTTCCCCTAAATTCATCTGCCTAACATTAACATGTAAAAAAGTAAATTAGGCATAGAGATGAATATAAACATTGCTAATCCAACTATATTATCTCTACTTCCCACAGCCTTGGGAACAAAATGGGAAGGCTTTGAAAGACCCAGCATGGGCTAGTCTGTCCACCCTCCTCCACCTCCACACTGCCAGCCTCCTGGTCTTCCTGAACTATGTACAGACTAGTGCACGATGGGTGTGGAATGTTGCTCCCTGCCCACTTCTGCCTGCTTTTCATGCCAGCCCCAGAACAAAGCTCTGTGTCTTCCTGGACACGTTCCCTACTCCACCCACCCAGTAGGGTTGACCACGCTCCCTTATGTGGCTTCCCTGAACTCTGTACAATTTCTATCTCAGCACTTTAGGTTGGTTTAGTGCACCTATGTACTAGTCTCTTTCACTGAACAAGAACTCATCAAGAACAAGAACTCGGGCCAGGGATTTAGCTCAGTGGTTCCGGCACCTCCCTCGAAAGCGCAAGGTCCTGAGTTCGATCCCTGGTACAAAAAAAAAAAGAACAAGAACCCGGGCCCTGTGGTGGTACAGCCATGTGATCCTAGCTGGTCAAGTCAGCTTTCCTGCCACTGGGACTCTATATCCACAACTTAAAAGAGGCCAGCTTTATTTTGGCTCATGGTTTCAGAGAATTCAATCCATAACTGACTGCCGCAAAGGCAAAAACATGTGTTCCAGCAACAGAAAACTAACACAAAAATTGGTATAGAAGAAGTGGGGTCACTGCTCTGACTGTACCTGACCATGCAATTTTGAAGCCTTTGGAATTGGTCTGAAGAGTTTGGGAAGGTTAGGAGATGTGGACTTAGAGAAGCCCAAGAATTGTAAGCTGCGCCTGATGAGTAATTCTGGTCAGAACTCAGAAGACCAGATTGTGATAGGAATGCAGAAAAAGGCCAGGCTCAGGAGGTCTCATTTGGAAACCAAGACTCTATTGGGAAATAGACTTAGGAGACCATGCATGTTATACTCTGGCAAAAAAATAAAATCTGCATTTTATCCATGTCCTGAGACTTTGCAGGAAGCTGAGTTTAACATGTTCCCACCAGCTTGAATGACTGATGGTACACACATGACTGTCCCATCAAGTGGCATAATGTGAAAAGTGAGGGTCTGAAACACTTGATTTCAGGGCTGGAGTTTCCATTGATATCACTATAGTTGCACCAATAGTAGTATTATATAATGAAGTATGGTAAAAGTTAATAATAGCCAAAATTGGGTTGTGGCTAACCAAGGTTCTAGTGGCATGCATGTACCACTATTGGGAACTACAGTCCCACTGTGAATGTGTCAAGGGCAGAAGACTAATTGATTTGGCAGACAAAATTTCAATGTAGCCCAATACTCAGGGATTGACATGGGTACTATCAGCTGCTTTTAGTCTAGATTTATAGTGAGAATTAGGGGCAAAAAGCAGAGCAGAAATTTTTGAAAAACAAATTTTGACCCAAAGTTGAGGCCAAAGGAGGTGTGGATGCTAAAGAGATTAGGACCATTGAAAAGAAACCAAGTACTTTTGTAAAGGGCAAGAAGAAAGACAGTCATGTGAGATGCAACAAGCAAAGCCATAGGGATGGCCCTTTGGAAGTCAGAGCTCACCACCGTATGCCTTAATCAAACTCCAGATGCTGAGCTACAGACTTAATGTTTGCCCTGCTGGGTTTTGGTCTTCCTTTGGTTCAGTTCTTTTCTATCCTTCCATTCTTTCTTTTTTGAATGGCAATATTTATCCTGTGCCATTATACCTTGGGATTCTATATCTTGTTTCTGATTTTTCCAGAGGTTTATAGAT